AAAAAAAAAAAAAAAAAAAAAAAAAAAAAAAAAAGACGCATATGGAATATTCATTCCCAAAATTACTAGAGTCGTTTTCATTTCTTAAGCACCTTCTCTTACTGGATTTAAAGCGCTAAAAGTGAGCCAGGCGTGGTGGCGCACTCCTGTAATCCCAGCACTCAGGAGGGTGAGGTAGGAGCGATCCTTGGGAGTTCGAGACCAGCCTGGGCTACAAAGTGAGCTCAAGGCCAGCCTGAACTGCATACAGAGACCCTCTCAAAAAGACAAAAAATAAATAAAGTTCTAAAAGTGATTAATACCCGAAAGCCTGCATTATGGCCAAGATCACCAAATAAAGGTAAGTATTTCACAGGAGAAATCCCATTGCAGTATCTTATGAAATTCATTGATAGTTATTCTGTTTGTTTTATTTTATTGGTACCAGGAATCAAACTCAGGGCCTTGCCTTTGCCTGGTAGGTGCTATGACACTGAGCTATATTCCTAGCCCGGATTGATAGTTATTCTAGGGTTTGGGAAATAGCTCAATGGCTCGAGTGCCTGACTCGCAAGAGCAACATCATGAGTTCAGTTCCCAGTACCAAAAAAAAAAAAAAAAAAAAAAAAAAAAGAGAGAGAGAGAGAGAGAGAATAAATTGATAGTTATTCTGAATATATTATCAATGTAATTATGCCCTATCTAGGGAATTGTTCTGAATATATTTAGAAACATAATGTGCAAGTCAAATCCAGGGAATCACAATCTTTACAAGCTAGTAGCTAATCACAGGGGAGTATTCGTTGTACTAAGCACTTGTATCAGTGAGGGTTTTACTAGAGAAGCAGATATAACCCAAGATGTACAAATATATAAGAAATTACAAGATTGGCTTACCATGGTCAGCCAGAGACTTGTATGAGGAAGCATGCAGGGGGTGTCTGCACACTGAAGACCGAAGGAATCAGTCCAGGGTCTGGAGTTCACCTCAGAGTTCCGTGCAAGTCAAGGAGGCCGATGAGTCTGCGACGGAAGGCTGAAAGATCCAAGGCGGAAGCCGAAGAGTCTGCACTAGAAGCCAGGAGACGAAGTCCAAGCTGAAGGTGAAGACTGGAGCTCCTCCAAAAGGAATGCAAGTTCCTCTGTCCTTCATTTCCCTTTTATATCATCTGGGTGATGATCCGTCCTAGGGTGGCTCCTCCACACCCTAGGGTGTAGAATTGCTGAGCCAATTGCTGAGCCAAGTTTAGTTAAGCTTCTAAACTTCTCAAGTTGACATAATCAATCAACCATTAAAGCACACTTTTTCTCTCTCTCTCTCTTCATATACATATATATATTTTTCTTGTTTTTTTAAAGAGACAGAGGCTTGATACATAGCTTAGTTTGGCCTTGAACTCTTGGCGATCCACCTCCTTCAACCTTCCAGATGCTCGGATTATAGGCCTACACCACCACACCCTGTTTATATTCTCATTTAATCTGGACAATTTTTTTATTTTATTTTTATTTTTTTTTGGTTTTTCTCCGGTACCGGGAACTGAACTCACGACCTTGCGCTTGCCAGGCAGGCGCTTTT